GGCACTACACACTTAAAAATGGCTAAGATGGTGAATTTTATTACACAGATCACTACCACAATAAAAACAAGTAGTCAACTCCAGACTGGAATTTAAGGCCTAGATCACAAGAATACTTTCTCTGGTGTTTATGATAGGAAAAGTTCACACATCTGAAGGTGCTGACATATGAAACACTACCTCCAGGTATTGTGCCCATTACACATATTCCCCAAATCGAAAGCATTCTACAGATAACCTACATGCATGTCCCACCCACACAGCCCCAAATACCAAGCATTCAGTTGGTTGTTCACAAAGAAACATTTTTCTTAGAAAGATAATGGAGGTTCACCTTTCACTGGTGCTTGAAATAAAACAGGTAATGTAGCAAAGCTGTCCCAAGAGCTGGCAGTCATTACTAACATCCCCAGGGTTTGACCTGACTCCCAGCCAGGTTTATAGGTTTATACTGCTTGCTCTCAGGAGGCTACTGAAGTGTCCTATGGCTGGCCCAGCTGGCCCTGGGTTGTCATTTCTGATGAGGATGAATGGCTAGGGTAAGTGGAGTGAGTCAGAGGGGTCCAGTTGACTTCCTGGGGACTCAGCTGAAGACAACCCATTTCTAGATCTTAGAGGCAAAGGCCAATTGCAAGGCGGGTAACAGGAGATGTGGCTTGCATGAGCTGTGTGGGACTCCATTACTCTGCATACCTCTTGTCCAGACCGCTCAGAGAGTGAAACCCAAAGTGGAGTAGGCTGTGGTGATAGGACCATATGCCCCACAGGAGAGAATCTTATCAGATAACATGGATTGTGTGAAAGGATCTTTGACTTCAAGGAAGATAAAGACTCCCTCAACCTCCCTTGGTTTCAATCTGAGAATTCTGTGGTGAAAATAAACAAGATCAAGGCTTTGGAGTGATCCAACTGTAAGCTAGTGGGGACCCACAGGGCTCTGGGTTTGGGCCACATTCTTCCCCTTCACAAAGTAAAAGTGTGACTTACTGGAGTTCTTCAGTTCGTGTGACTCAGAGCCCTTTCATTATTGATTCTCTCCACTAGTGCCTCATCTACTCATCACAGCCTTCCTCTGCCTGGGGCTTCTGACTCCTCCTAACACTGACTGACTCATGAAACATGTTCCTTCCTGGACATCCCTCCAGCCTCTCCCTGCCAGCCTCAGCTCCCACTATCAAATTTCTGATTTTTAGTCAGTATTTCCCAGTTGAAGTTTCATATGTACAGAAATAGGTAAACTGGAATAAAATTTTCATTCTGGTTATCCTATGGAGTGCTGGCCAGCTTATAAATAACAAAGGCCTCTCCATGCTCAGGGGCATGGTGGGTCCTTTCTAGAAAAGAACCTAGGCACCAATTCTACACGGAGCAAAAATGTTTTCTTTATGCCTCCTAGTCTTGTGCAAAATATCCAAAGTAGTGCCAAAGTGAAAACAGAGTGAATGAAGTTTCCTCACAGCACCTCCCTACCTTATATTCTCTTAAATTCTGCCCCTTTTCTCTACCCTGCAGCTCAAGTCTTTGCTGACTTTTATCACAACCCAAGCGAGAAACCTTTTCCTTCTCAATTACTTATTCACCATACTTCAAAACCATTCACTTATCTCTATCTACTCAATATTCATGGAACACCTGCTTTGAAACAGGTAAAATACTAAACAATGAAGACATAAATTCATCTACTTACTGAACAAATATTGACTCCTTACAAGCATTATGCTACCTGCTAAGAATATAAAGATAACTAAGACATAGTCTCTGCTTAACCCATGTAAGAATTCAATAAATCCTTAAAGGGACTCACAGCCCAGTGAAGAGTAGAAGCAAAGATTTAAGCAATTTTAAACAGAATGAAAATAGCTCTCCTGGGGAAAGTCCACTGGAAAGAAGGCCTAGAGATGCTGAAAAGTCCCTTCTCTGGCACTAACATTTACACTGAGATCTGGACAGTGAGCTGATTTAGCCAATGAGGAGGATAAGATGAAGACCAGGGCCTCCAGAGAACACAAACAGTACATATAAAGGCTTGGGATGGGGAAGAGAATGAGCATAGGATGGGCTGCAATTGGGGCACAGAGTAAATAAACAATGCAAATATGATTTTAGGGACTGGGGTGAAAGTCTGTGTGGAGGGTAGTACTATGTTCTCAATTTAAACCCAAGGTCAAGTTGACCAAAGAAATTGCTGCTGCTGCCTTTACCACTCCCATTCACATCCTACTAGCAAGAGTTAGTCACTGCAGCTCTCTTCACTGCCAGACAGCCTGGGAGAGGAATGATAACTGTGGCCCAGAAAGAAGAGCTGTTTGGTGTTGGTTAATGCCTCAGAGAAACGTTCCTAGACAGTAGGCACACAGACAGTTGTGGAGGTAGCCCTGATTCTAGTTCACCCAAAGAGCCGAATAGGGGCTCCCAGGGAAGTAGGTGGACAGATAGAGACAACGCCAGGTCTGGGGAAACCTCTGGTGACCCAGGGAGCCAGGGCAGCACCAGTCAGTCCAAGGCAAGATCTTCTCTTTCAAAATGAAGTTTGAATATTGCATGTTAAGTCTGCTGAAGGAGGTGGATGTCAAGTAGGAGACAGTCATGAACTGTGAATGGGGCTTGCCTTGCTTGCAAGCTACAAGCAGTTCATGACAGGCCCAGGGATGCTGACAAACACAAGATGCCTGGGTCAGAGACAAAGGACTTTTCATGTCACAGCAGATTTGGTGTCTAAAGCACCATAGCACTTTCTTTCATCAGTTACCTTCAAGGTGAGCCAAAGGGTAAGAGATGATACTTGTGTATGTGGTGTGCTGGATTATGAGAGAAGAACCCTGAATTTAGGGAATCTGAACTTTTCATTAAGGGCCAAGAGCATGCCTGCTCTGATCTGGAGATAGTGTCTTCTCAAGCTCTTGACAATCTGTTGTTTGCCTAAAAAACAGACAATATCTTCTTCAAAGGCTATTCATTTTACAAACATCCTTAAAAAGATAATGCAGAGCAAAGGCCCTCATTCCCTGTTTGTGCAATATGCAGAAATGTGAGAGAAACTTGAGAACTAGCTTCCGACAAAGGCAGGTTCCCTTCTAGCAAGAAATAATATTCTTTAGATAGCAGCTTGTTTTGCTGCATGCTTCTTCTCCCAACCTCTAGATACTGGCAAGACCCAGAGTTCAATTCACAGAGCTCTTCTCTATTGACACCCACTTCCTTGGGGATCTCATTAAACCTAGTATCTTTAAATACTATCAAGCTCATATCTTTAAATCTATGCTGACGAGCCCAAGTTTATAGCTTACACTTCAACACTGCCCTCATATCCAGCCTAAGATAGCAAACTGCCTAGGTGGCATCTTCACTTGATTATCGTCTAGACTTCTCAAACTTAACTCATGCTTAAGTTTTCCCTCCATATGTCACCCAACTCTTCCCCAGGGTAATCCCTCTCCAGAAAGTACTATGCATTCAGTAGCAATGATCAAAAAAAAATCTTTTTCTACAAGCTTATTCTCTTATAAATATATTTATATTAAAAAAGTAATATACAATCATTTTAGTAATATAAATAAAATTATATATCATAAATCAATTTTATATTATGCTTACATATTGAAAAATTATTAAAGTCATATCATTTTTCTCCTCCTACTTAACCAAATCCCGGTTCCAGTCCTAGACAATAGGTAAACCTGGTGCATATGTGCAGAGCTTTGGAATGCTTTGAAACTGTTGAGTAAATATTCCCATGCCTGCAACTTTCCCAATGACATTCTGACATCTAAAAAAAAATTCAAAGTCACGCTACCTATGATGTGACCTCTGCTTCTAAATCTGACCTCATTTGCTACACCCTTTCTGTTCCTTTTTTGCACTCTACTATCTACAAATGCCATTACCAGGCTGACTCAGGGCCTGTGTTCTCTGTCGCCCAAGTCATTTAGAACTCAGTCAGAAATTAACTGACCAGACAGATATTCTTCCTGACTGTACTCAATAAAATAACAACTCCTCCTATCCTGCTTTCCTTTACCCAGCTTTATCATTTTTTATAGCTCTATTACCATGATTTTAAGAATCTATCTCCTACTACCAACCCCCCCCAAGTCTAAAATATATGCTTCCTATGTCAAGAACTTGACTCTTCTTATTGTTATAGCTTCTGCTTCTAGAACAATAATGTATGCAAAATAGATGCCTGATAAATATTAATGTCTAATGAATAAATGGACAGCTTATCCTGGGTACAAAAATGGAGGCTATATCAGGAACACATATAATTTGTATCAATCTTTCTTGTTCAAAGGAAAATCAACTGATTTCACTTTTAAGGCTCTACAGGATCCTTGCCATGTTCTTCCAAGTTCTGTATGATGGAGTGTAAAGTTGAGCACAGCCTTCTGAGAAGAACCTGTGCATGCTATAATTAGCTTTTCTTCTTTTGTAGGTTTCACATGCTTGCCTAGAAATACACCTTTAAAAGATAATCTCCAGGACATAAGCCCAGCTGCAAAGAAGCTGGTTTAAGGTCAGAGTTTCAAAAGTAACGAAGGGATGTTTTATTCTTAACCTGTTTGCAGTTTCTGTAAATCTCAAAACACCTCCTGAAAATATATATAATTATCATATATACTTATTTATAACTATCATACATATATATAATTATCATATATACATGTAGCTATCATATGTACATATTTTAAAATTGTCACTCTTTCACTCAACAAACAAATACCTGCTATGAGTTAGAAGCTAGGATAGTGCAGAAATAGTCCCTATCCGGAGGCATCAGAGTGTCGGGCATCAAATTGTCTGTATCCACTGCTATTGTTTTTGAAATGTATTTTGGTCTGATTTGATTATCATATATTACATTTATTTCCAACACTGCTTCTTAAATAAGATTCAGCACTTATGAAATATATTTTCTTCTGATTTGAAAACAAAGGAACACAGTGTTTTGTTTTCACTAGCCTGCATTCAATTTAACTGAAATAATGACTTTTATTTTTCAGAGTTGATTTCAATTCTCTGCAAAGGATATAACAATGAAATACAAAAAATTCAGGTATTTTCGTTTAGTTCTTTTTTTTAAAGCCTCCTTACATGTCACTCACATGCTTGGACTTCATCTGTCTTTAATGTTTTTACTGTTAAAAATTATTTTAGAAACAACTTTTGATCATATTTCAATTGCTCTGAACATTTCATTGGTCAATATTTCACTAAAGATATTAACTTTCTCTAGGATGCAGAGAGACTAATAGAATTTACACAAAAATTTCTACTGAATGAATTTCCCCACCTTCTTGTGATTGTACACCTGCCTTCCTTATAAGGAGAACAAGGAAGTAAATCATGTTGAAGTTGCTTTTAAACACAGCTTTTCTTCTTTACCTGTCCAGGTAGCTTCTGTTTTCATTTCAGTCTTAATGAAAACTTTTTTATTTACATCTCAAGTTTCTTTTCAAAGCAGTGTAAGTAGTATTTAAAATTTTTACTTCAAGAAAGAAAGACTTTAACGATGTTCAGCTTTAGTTTTGTAACGTTGAAGGTAATGCATTTTTTGATCTGTCTGCACAGCGAGAACTGAAACGAATGGGGATTGAACTGCTTTGCCTGTTCTTTCTATTTCTAGGAAGAAATGATCACGTACAAGGTAAGACCGAAGTTATCCAATATATTGTTTTCATGGTGTGCTTGACAAACCTGTCATTTGGTCAGAAACTAGATCTGAAGACATTTTTTATTTGATCTGTTTCAATTGCTCTTTTGCCACTGAGCGAACACTTTAACAAATTACAGGCAGACGCAGGACTGTTCCCACAGTGAATGCTCCAGGCTGAAGGTAAATAAATACAAAGGTTGTAAGGGCATTTTAATGAGGGAATTAAATAGTATCGCCACACTAATATCTTTGTAGCAAATACTTTGCTAACTTTTCTTATTTCTTATACAAGATCTTCAATTTAAGCTTATCTTGAAAGGAAAATAGGACTTGTTTGAAAAATAGAGTATATGTAAGAGCAGCTTCTTTGAATGGGTGCAAATAATTTTTACTCACAGTGGGCGATACTGAATGAGGATAATAAGTACGATGATACTGTATTTGTGAACATTAAAAAGTTTTCCTGTTTGGGGAAAAAAGAATGATCACTTTTGGCTAGCAAGACATTTTCAATAGGAGAGATGCAAACTATGAACTTTTCTATGAATTCCTAACATTCTGAGGGCTGATTATAGAAAACTAAGCTAAATTTAGACGCTGATTCTTTTAAGTACGTTAGATCCGTAAGTCTCACAAATGGAGTGACAAAGAGTGTGCTGAATACCTGTGTCTTGCTGGGTTTAAACATAGGTGGCTGTGCCGTGGGAGGTGCAGAAACCTGTGAAGACTGCTTACTCATTGGACCTCAATGTGCCTGGTGTTCTCAGGAGGTAAAAAACAAACAAACAAACAAACAAAAAAATGACCTCAACATATTTGTAAAAAACTACAGCTACACATAGGTTAATTCTGTTAGTGATTATTTCATAGTGGCCTGCTTTCTGTGGGATTACAGGAGTGAAACAAATCAAAAAAGAAAATATAAACATTCCTAGATCAAAGTGTCATTCACGTGATTATTTTCCAATGCAATTTGTGGAGGGGGTGAAAGGTAACTTTTTCTGAAAAAGGCATAATTCAAGATCCTTTACTTAACCTGATTCATCCTCTTATTTTAAAGCCCTTCCTAACTGACTACATGTAAAATGCCAAGAAACGCTGTGTGTTCAGTGAACATGGGTCTGATATTCCTCTCATGTTGTGATTCAGCATAGCGATTCCATCTGGGAGCCATGGGTCATTCTAACAACTGCAAGTGTCTAAGAGGAATGTTGTAGGTTTGGGGCAATCTATACCGTTCGGATTAATGCCCAACTCTTTTAAGAATTATCTTTTCCAGGCTCAGTGACCCTGCACCATACTAATGACAGACTGAAACATACCTTCTTATCTGATCAAACAAAAAACAATGTGGCAGTAATACATGGGCATTTGGGGACCATATAACAAGTCACCCTGAGTCACTGCCTCTTGAGAACTTATAAATGAGCTGTGGTAAGAAGGCGCTACCTTAGTTCTTTCTACATTCAAAACAATTCCCTACTGTATCTAATAAAGAGAATCAATGTGAACACAGAGCAAACCATATAAATGTCAAGTTCAATAAGAATGAACAGCATGCTCAGAGGGCAACAAACAGAGCACCTGGCTGAGGAACAGACTGCAACTTTTAAAACCCAAGTTGATGGTGTCTGCCTAGAGGAAGGTGCCACGCGCAACGGAGTACAAGCCCTGCCCATGACTGCCTGGCTCACTGTCACCCTGACCATTAGCACACAAACAAAAGTGCAAGGGAATTACAATATTTGAGCAGATATGTCAGAGAGGAAAAGAACATAGTTTTAAAAAACTGGCTCCCTGAAGACTCTCAGTTTCATGTCAGAAACACCAAGTAAGAAATCGGTGTAACGAAATGTCCACCATGTCAGAAACACCAAGTAAGAAATCCGTATAACGAAATGTCCACCTCTGCAAGTTTTCATTGAGATCTAATTGTTAGCATTCATTTAAAAGCACTTCTTAGGTTGCTACTGACAGTTTCATCTGTTGATGACACTTGTTAAATTTTCAGACCAGAATGTTTGAAGAGGTCACTAGTGGCACTGTAGAAGCAGTTGTATTTATTAAAGGAGTGGGAGCAACTCAAATTTGGCTTCTACTTAAAGCACATAGAAAGCAGGTTCTCTGGTTAACATCACCTCTGATCTTTTGGCAAAGGCCATATGATGAGTAGAGACACTGTGTTAGGAAAGATTTTGAGGGCTGTCTGGTTACTATTTGCCTTGAATACATAATGGGAAGTTACCGTTTGCGACCCCTGGCCTAGGGACTCAAATACACACATGCCTGACTGATAAATTATATGCTCAAAACGTCAATGTCAGAAGAAACCTAACTTTTCTACTTGGTGAAATAGCAAGAGGGTTTCAGAGTTCTAAGGAACAAGGAAAAAAAGAAAACAGTATGAGCTAAGTTGCTTCTCTCCAAGCCTGAGGGTTATTCAGGCTTAAACAAAACTTCTAGAGCCCTAGAACAGACTTCCTTCTCAGGTAAGATGGTCTTTATCTGCCAACCCAACTCTGTTCTGGGCACTGCAGGGTCAGAGGCCCACTTATCTCTACCTCCTGCTAGCCAGGTGAATCAGAAGGGAACTAGGAAACTACTGAGTCTACAAAGAAAATGGTTTCTCATGTATTCTTTTTCACTCCCCTTCCCTTGGAGAAAATTCTAGATCTTGGGAGAAGTCCTAGAAGAACTTATACTGTAACACTGTAAGATACTCAATTTCAAGTCCCCACGAGGTTAACTTTTAGTGAAGTAATGCTGGATGTCAAGGTGACACACCTGAATGAAACCAGGACAGAGAATCTCATAGGGAGTTATCACAATCCTTGCTTTTCAGGAATCCGTAGAAAAGGCTCTGTCACTGGACTTGGTAATAGACTAGCCAAAAGTGTATCTAGTCCTGAGATTCCACAACCTCAAGTCCATGCTGAGCAGATAAATTCATGGAATGATGTTGACGCTCTAATCCAACTGGTCACAGAATTGAGAAACTTTAAAGTGAACACCAAAAAACAAACAAATAAACAGAAATGACAACTATTGGGTGAATTCACTTGAAGGCAATTAAAAGAGATCCAATTTTACTGACAGAATTCTCTGGTCATTCAGTTATAACAACTTTTAACTTGGACCTCCAATCAATGTCAGACACACAAGGGTATAATATACTCAGTATATATGTCTAACTAGCAAACTAAGCAAAAAAAAAAAAAAAAAGAGTCTGTCTTATAAATAAATGCACTTTTTTTCTTTTCATTGTTTCTTTTTCTTTTCTTTTTTCTTTTTTAGAATTTTACTCATCCATCTGGAGTTGGTGAAAGGTGTGACACCCCAGCAAATCTTTTAGCTAAAGGATGTCAATTAACCTTCATTGAAAATCCTATCTCCCAAGTAGAAATACTTACAAATAAGCCTCTCAGTGTAGGCAGACAGAAAAACAGTTCTGACATTGTTCAGATTGCACCTCAAAGCTTGACCCTTAAACTGAGACCAGGTATGTTATGATCTTACAAAAACATTGACTCATGTAAATAAATCCAGTGGTACATAGGATAATACCACTATTCTTAATATACCTTGAACCATATTACAGATCATTGATTATTATGACTCAGATTTCCCTTCTTAAGAGAATTGTGTGACTGATACTTCATTCACATTAGTCACTTGCATTTCAAATGTGTTACTAAAAAAGGCCTTATCTAATAGTAATCATTTGAATTACTCAAATGTTATTAAGGCTTACCTCATTTTTCTTCAAGGTTGTAACGTAGTTTTAAATTACTTTTATTTTGTTCTTTTCTAAAACCACATACAAAAAAAAATTCAGCTTATCTTCCATCTAAATGGATGCTAGCTCTCTCAAGGAGATATAAAATATCCTAACTTTTACCTCCTTTAGTAGCTCTAAACTCCCTGCTCTAAGATTTTCATGGACTCATTCATTTATAAACTTTACTGCTAAGTTTGTATACTAAGTTTGTGATCTTTTTTATGTTCTTATTGGAATGAAATAGTCAACAAGTTGAGTGATTGGCTAGTTGCACGTAAGTCTCAATATGATTTTATGAGTTGACCTTTCTTGTGGGGGCTTTGCAGGCAGTGAACAGACTCTGCAAGTGCAAGTCCGCCAGACTGAGGATTACCCAGTAGACTTGTATTACCTCATGGACCTCTCAGCCTCCATGGATGACGACCTCAACACAATTAAAGAGCTGGGCTCCCGGCTTTCCAAGGAGATGTCTAAATTAACCAGCAACTTTAGACTGGGCTTTGGTTCTTTTGTGGAAAAACCTGTCTCCCCTTTTGTGAAAACAACGCCAGAAGAAATTGTCAACCCTTGCAGGTAAGTAAAATGACTCTCTGGCATCTTTGAATACTTATTTCCCATGGAAATAGTCTCATCTCAGCAGCACTAGGCAGGAGCATGCATATTACCTGGCATTTACCTCCCAGATAGCTGGATCTAAGTAGCTGTCTCAGCTGCCTGAGTTGTTTGGAACCAAGGTAAAGACAACTTAATTACAGTTCTAGCTTGGGTCCTTGAAGCTTCTGTCTCCCAGTTTAAGTCAGGGTGTGGAAATTTGGCTTGGTGTTCTGCAAGTCTTTACTATAAGTTCCACTGCCTTGGCCCATCCTCAGCTCCTTAGAGACCTTTTAGCACAATAACCATCACTTCCTGAAGCTATTTGACAGCAATCCACACTTTGTCATATTATTTCTCCACTACAATAACTACTGCCAAAAAAACAATACTTGTAGTTCCTCTGTGGTAGATTTCTCTTATTGCTAGGGGAAGGCCTTTAGAGCCTCACTGCTATTTAATTAAATATTGGCACTGTTTAATGTGCTACCATCAGCTTTTAAAACCATGTATTATCCAGGTGACGGTCAAGGGCAATTTCCTTTGTGCAGTCAATGGCATATACAAAGTCAAATTATTTAATATGTTTTTATTGAAAAAGCTGCCATTTGTTCTGTGCCCTATGCTGAAGGTTTATAAAAATCACCTCATTCAATCTTCATAATAATAGCAGGTTAAAGCAGGTTTTACCAACCTCTACTCAGAGGAAGTAACAGAGGTTCTGGAAAGTTAGTTCCAGCAGTTCTCCTGTTATGCAAAAATACAACATTCCTATTTGGCATGATTTGACAAATGAACTATTGGGTCTGAAAAAGCTATTATCATTAATTTATATGAATTTTTTTTTTGCGTATTCTCAGACCCATAAAATAACCTACCAAATCATACCAAATAGAACATTCTACTTTCAGATAGCAGGGGAAATCAGAATTGTCCAAAGCCACATAACAAGATCTGGATTGGTCCAAAACCACTCTTTAATATTATGAGTCTAATATATATGAAATGACTTTCTAAACATTCTGATTTTTTTTTATACTTCAACAGACTTAAAGAATCAGCCTCTATTAAAAAAATTTTAAAACTTTAAAACTGTTAACATAGTTTCCAGCTAGAATCTGACATAATAAAACATAATTTGACTATGAAAGCAACTCACCACCAACTGAAACTCATATTTGGTTGCCAGTATCAAGTTTTTAAGGGTTTGCTAAATATATTTGTCTCCCAACATTTCTGAGGTATAGTGGGCATATGCTAAAAGGCAAAAATGTTCAGCTGGGTGAGTATAGATAATTGAATATACCAATGCAACCAGCAGATTGATTCAAATTGATCAGTTTCCTCATGTCCCATTAACTGTCAGTTCTACTCCCTAGAGGCAAACAATTTCTGATTTCTCTAATTTACATTGGCCTTTCCTATTTTTAGATTTTATACGAATGGAAAAAACCAACATACACCTCTTATGTCTTCCTACTTTTGTTTAATACAATGTTTTTGAGATTTATATATTATTTTGTGTTTATCAGCAGTTTGTTCCTTTTTGTTTCAAGTAATAGATAGGTGTATGGACTTACTATGCTTTGTTTATTCATTCTTTCATTGATGGACCTTTGGCTCGTTTCCTATAATGAAAAAATCTTGCTATGATCACTTGCATATAAGCACTTTGCAGTTGCCTAATTTTATTTATCTAGGATAAATGTCTAAAATTAGAATGGATGGACTGTGTGATAGGTGTAGCTTTAATTTCTTTAAGAAACTATTAAATTATTTCTCAAAGTGGATTTCATCAGCAATCAACAGTGAGAGCGATTATTATTCCAAATCTTTGCTAACACTTGGTAATGCTAGTCTTCTTGGTATTAACCATGCTAACAGGTGTCACTCTCTGAAACTCTAATTTGCATTCTCTGATACAAATTTTATTGAACAACTTTTTATTTTCTTATCATTCTTATTCTATTTTGTGAAACAGTTTTTCAAATACTTTCCCCACTTTTTGCAATTAGCTTCTTGTTTTTTTAAACATTATGAGTTCTTTGTATATTCTGGTTAAAACGTTTTTGTCAAATACATATTTTTGCAAGTATTATCAATCTATCTGTACTTGCCTTTTAATTTTAATGATGTCTTTAGTAAATGAAAGTTTGTTTTGGTAAAGTCCAATTTATCAATTTTTCATTTTGTGGTTAGTGTCTGTTTTGTCCCAAGAAATCTTTGCCTGCCTTAATGTTGCAAAGATTTCTCCTACGTTTTCTTTTAGAAACTGTATGGCTACAGCTTTTTACATTTATGTTATGACCTGAAATTAGTTTTTACATATGGAATGACTAAAAAGACCTACTTTCATCTTTTGTTTCCATGCAAATATTGTTCTAATGCTATTGCTTAAGCACAATTTTCCTTTTCCACTGAATTATGGTAGTTTTAGTTAAAAGCAATAAACTAAATATATAGGAGGTGAACTTTGGACACTCTCTTGTTTCATTGATCTATGTAACCGTAGTAATGTCTTTCAGTCTTGATTACTGTATATTTTTTTTAATATTTATTTATGCATCCAGAAGTGGAGTACAGGCCAGAGGTGTAGGGGGTGATGATAGGATTCACCAGAGACAGAGTGGGGAGAACAGGTCGAGGTCGAAGTACACTGTTGAGGAGAGCAGCTGGTGGGTCAGGAGAGGCCTGCTGTACCAGCACAGGGATGGAACTCATACTGAGATGGCTTTA